TTGGGTTCCACATATTGTACATAAGTCATATGTCACACACCCAAAATGAATAAGTCATAAGTTTATATATAAAAACGAAATATTTAATAACGAAATAACACGTCTGACACGCTTGGTGGAAAGTTTCTACTGTCCAAATAAGAATGCTTCCCGGCATCATTAGACTTAGTAACCAATCTTCATAATTAATTATGTAACACTTTTCCAATTAAATAATTGGTAGAACTGTCTCAAAGACACTGTCAATGATTAAAACACTCGAGCTGTCGGCTGTTTAAACACCATGTAGATTCTTAGAGGGGAGATACCGTTGAGGTTAAAAACACACCATCTGGCATCGTGTCATGGTGAATATAACATCTAATCTTGATAACTTATTACTGTTTTCATCTTTTCCATTGTGCCGCTGGGTTCTTCTAGCATCTATTTACTACTTTCCGTTTCTTTGGTAAATGGTATATGTCACAAGTTGAGATGATTTTGAAAAACCTCAATTGGAAGAATAATGTAAAATCTGATGAGTAAATAGTATTAGTGGTGATGATTTGCTCAACATAATCGATTTGAAGAACACCGTCTAGAAAAAAGTACACCGAAGCGTTTGCTGACGCGGTTCCATTGCAAGTTTCGATTAAACTCAAAAGTCTCGATATAATCAATGAATTCGAAATGTCCGATTTAAGCGAAAAAAGATTTAAATGTGCAAATGACAAATGTCCTTAAATAGCGGAACGAGGCTAAGAAGTGATGGTGATTTGTAACACTGCACGGGACTTTGATCAAATAATTCTAATGAGTATGTCACACGAGTTTCAATAAACGCGAGAGTATCAAATTTGACGCGAACAATCAACATAATTAGCCACGATGCTTTTTGTCCCCAATCCGTCAAGGTAAGCATGGGGACATTTATAATGGATCTGTCCGTCCGTCCGTTATACCTTTTGGGACACAATAACTCTCCTGATTGAGTCATAACGTTTAAACTTGGTGTAGCTGTTATTAGGTAAAATACCTTGCTGGAGTTCGAAGATGAGCATTGTCTGCTTAGGGTAAGCTGAGATAACCAATTTGATTGCTTGATGCTATAGGACACGATAACTTTGGTTCTAAGTAGGTGAGAGTATTGAAACTTGATGTATAGTTTCATTATATCAATACCTTGAATACGTTCGGTAATGACCATTTTCTGATCAGCTCGATAACTTTGATTTTAATTTAGTGACTTTGACTTGATGATGAGCATTACATAATACATTGACTCGATGATGATTGGTAGAGATTTTGGAACACAATAACTCCTAATGGATGTAGAATCTTCAAACTTGGCGTAGGTGTCTATTAGGTGAATGCCTTGTCAGTGTTCGATCATGTGCATTTTCCACTAAGGCTAAGGCTAAGGCGTTCATTATGTGAATGCCTTCATGGAGTTCGATGATGAACATTGTCTGCTAACGGTAAGCAGTTTGACTGGTTGATGCTTTTGATTATAGTTCAGCGAGAGCTATGAAACTCCGAGTATAGATTCATTTTATCATTACTTTGACTGAGTTTGGTGAGAATTTTCTGCTTGAGCTGAGGAGCGATAGGCAATTTGATTGACAAGGTTTTGGAAACGTATCAAATCTGTTTTTAATTGCAGTAGAATGTTGAAACATGGTGTAAATGTTCAGTGGGTGAATGTCTTGGCCGAGTTCAATGGTAAACATTATCGGCAAAGGCGAAGCAGAGCTAAGCAATTTCATTGGTTAATGCTTTGGGGCACGATAACTTGGATACTAATTGATGAAGTGTCACGAAACTTAGTGCTTAGTTTCACTACCAGGTACTTTGAAACCTTGACTGAGTTTGATTGTGAACATTTTCTGCTTCGACTATGTATAGATAATAAAGTTGAAGATCAGTTGCATTAAAAGATTACTTTAGGATGTTTGTATTAGTGGGGGGGATTTTCCATTTAATAAACTCCAATACTCCTCAAATACGTCATGTTGATAGATAGCTGCTATTATTAAATTTACTCTTATTGTATTTTAAATGTGAGTACATATCATATTATACACAAGAGTGTCCTAATTAGAATTACGCTCATTACCAGCATTCGTGCTAGCCCAAAAACCAAATAACGGATATTCGTGGCATTGATAAGGCGGTTGGGCTGAGAAAAATGATGGCCGTGATTTCAAGGAATTCCACTATCATTTAACTAATATTGGAAAAGCTATTGAAGTGAAGGGTCCTTTACTGTGGTGCCAAAGTTCATAAAAACACAGAAAATCGGTGACCGCTGGTACAGCAGAAAATGGTAGAACAATTAGTTTGTCGGAAGGCCAAATGAAAACTGGACAAAATTGAGTGTAATCTGTATTTAACAATTCAATAGCGGGGCTGATGAAGCTTAATAGATGACAGTCATTAATTGATAACACATTTAACATTTTTGTAAAGCATCTAGCAATCAAATTGTTAATCACCCGGCATAACCTAAGCAAAAATGTCGAACCTAGTCAAAATATTGATGTAATGAAACTATATACCAAGTTTTTTTTAATACAAATATATATACCCCCCCTCCAAACCTCTCAATATTCCAGGTGCAGTCATCTTGACCAAAATTCTCGATCGTTGAAATGGCTTATTTCTACCCAGTATCTAAATTAGTCAAGGCATTTACCTAATGACCAACTGGACCAAGTTTGATACAGGCAGGTGGACAGACTGACCGGTGGGCGGCAGGGTACAAAAACAGAAATACAAGTAAAACTTCTAAAAATAATAGTTGTCCGGGATTCTACAGCGGTCACCGATTTTCTGTGATTTAATCGACAGTCTGTTATGTTAATCTTTCCGTTCAGACCATGTAAAAAAGCAATAGTCCACAAAACAACATTTGGCACCGCTGACCTTCTAAACACCGTGCAGATTTGTGACATTCCACGTGATATTCATCGCCGAGCTCGGAAATATGGCCATCATTTCTCAGCTTAGCCGCTTTATTTTGACCTCCAGTACCCGTTATTTTTCCGTTACTTTCGGGATAAAGGTGAACAGTTCATTATTTAACGGTTCACTGAATATCGGAATCCATCCATATCTCATCATGTTAATTATTTTGTGAAGTAAACTCGCCATCTTGGCGCAAATGTTTTGAGGTTGGTGACCACCCAAACACACCAACTACGCGGCGTCTGTCGTGACTTAAGAGTGACTCTTTTCAATATGCTTGCTATGCAGCTTCCGCCAGTGGTAGGCCAGAGATCAAATTAAATTTAGTTGATACTTGATGAATGAAATCGTATTAGATCTGAGGCAACTCGAGAATTCTTAATTTCCAAATCTCTAATGGAATTTCCTCCTATATTGATCAAGGGAACCAATTAATCGCCAACGTGATGCAATAGGAACGAAAATGTAATAAACTACCACAAAACGAATAACTTTTTCACAAAATTAGATCATTTTGTAAAATTCGAATTTTCCTACCAAAACTGACGACCACCTTGAATTGTTTCCCAATATTGACTCGGCAGTATAATTAATCACCATGGAATTGGATTCAGCTACTACAAAAAGGCATGTTGATCCCAAACTCAATCATATTATGATAATATACGTCTAGACCGACTATAAATCGTTATCGGATGATGCGGCATTGAATTAAAATGCTTAAACTATTACGCTACAATTGCCCAGCGTAAATTACTATATAAGATTAAATAACTTGAACACTATCCGAAACAAAATATTTAGTCGTATAGCGTGTACCACCACTAACAGAACCGATCTTCCCATTTAAATCCTTTACTGGACCTAAAGCAAATATGTTAAGCCCCTCGAATGCCAATACTGATATGATCATACACACTAGTTAACATAAGGCTCACAAATGTGATTATCCGACGCGTACTACCTATTAGAGAATTTTGGCAAGCGTAAATTCCTGGTCTTTATCCGTTTGAATTTTGCGTGTGACGTCATCAATGTGTGTGTGTGTGTGTATTTCTCATACGTGGCACCTTTCTCAAAAGTCCCTATAGCATTGTCGTCTTTTTACTGTCGTTTTTGCTACTTTTCTACGCTGAAATGTTGTATCATTGCGTTCTTATGAATATATGTGTATCCTAGAACACGAAGGTGTATAATTTGATGTGATTTTAACCATGATAAAGACTGGAATTTAATCATTATTTTTGATGGGTTTTTACGTGATACGGATGGGAAAAATTCCGCTTGCCAAAAGTCTCTATTATCTCTTACTATACTTACAATAATGTGTATACATGTAGTATTATTACACTTACTGTATAATCACCTGTAGGGTAATAAACTAATGTCATGTAACATTAGGGTTTGCAGTTGCTGTATTAATCCTAAAGGACCATACATACTAACAGTCCGTGGAAATATATTTATACGTGAAATATATGATTGAATAACAAGAATGGTGCACATAATCATAATTAATGTTGAGACATGCAATATTGTCTAATGTCATTTCTTAACAATTCTAAGAAGGCTGCTGGTATACTAATGTGTATCTGTCGGATCTTCATCAGGTAAGCCTGGTAAGACAATAAAAAATGATGGTACACGGTCAGTGCGATTTGCGTCCCCTAAAAACATCAATTTTTGGCCAGACACTAATATTCATTAAGATACTCTATATTTTGAAATAACATACTGTTCCAGATATGTGTTCATATTTTATAACATATAGCGATAATAAGAATGACGCACATAATAATCGTTGTACATGTCGACACATACAAACATATCTTGTCCAGGCTCTTTCCTACACACTTCCAAGAAATATTCTTTTCCACTGAAACCATATCTGTATCTGGAACTTTTTTCCGATTTGTTGATCTTCGACCAGCTAGTCGCGTAACACAATGTAACCATGGTGGTATCGGGTGTTCTGTACCTTTTCGGTGTACTCTTATGATTAGTACTGTCATTAAGACAGATAATGTACTGATGATTATCAGACAAGATAGATAGATGGTGATATATGGTGTACGATTCGACGTAGTTGGTAGCATACCACTGACAGTACTCATAAAAACAGCCAAAGACAGTAGTACTGTCAGAACATAGCTCAACTTTTCACCAGAATCAACTGGAACAGCAAACACGGCAGCATTCAAAAACGACAGGATGATAACCGGTAAGTATACATTCAGAAGTATGAAAGTTGGGCGTCGAGTCAATGTGAGTTTGACTGTCACTTTTGATAACTGATCATTCTCTACATTTGTTTCGTTGCTTCCGCTCAGTTCTTCTATTACCCATTCACCATTTTCTCTTGTCCGAAGCGTTGAAAAATTGTCCTTTAATACCAGTGTGAGTTGCTTTTGAGTAAAGTCAATAGGAAGAATTTGAATGTCACAGATTTGCTTATCAAAAGGAAAGTGTGTCATGTCCAGTGCACAAAATGTTGTAAATACGGCCGCAGGTTTCCAGGTTACGGAACCATTTTGAGTAACCTGAAACGGACTGGACTGTTTCGAAAACAAGTCTCTCTCGTGAACAGAATTGATAATCATTATGTGAGGTAACCATCGTTTTTCTTTTGGAATATTTATAATGTTTATACCTCCAAAGTTATCTGGGTTCCATTTTAAAAGCTCGTCCGTCCATTCAACCATGAATACGACATTAGTAGTGATAGTCTGCTCCACATCATCAATTTGAAGAACACCTTCTAGAAGTAATTCTACACTGATTTCCATTATCTTTGATTGATTTAACAATGGTCTGACCAACTGACTGTAATTTGACAGAAGATTCGTTTCAAGTTTCTGTGCATCCTGGTAGGTTGCTGAAGCGTCTCCGCGGAAAGTTTCGATTAAAATCAAAAGCATCGAAAAAATCATTTTCAAGATAAACCGGTTTAGGCCAATTCAAATTGAAATGATTTTACTTACGGTACAAACGACAATATCCTTGCGTCGCACAAAACTGATGGTGGTGTGGCAACTGTGATACATAGTTTTAATTAAGCAGTATCAATCAATAGATAAAAACCATTCAAATAATGATTTATATCTATTTTGTAAATGTAAAAAAGCAGCAATAATCGTGTCAACAAGAGATGAAACCATTAGTGATATTTGTTGGCAAATACAATTATTATTGTTCCCACATGAAATTATTTTCAGAATAAGTCTTCTCGGTTAAATATGTGAGCTTGTTTAGAAAGTCTAATTATTTTTACTGTGGATTATTAGTCATTTTTGTTATTTCAGAATAAGTTGTATCGGTTAAATATCTGATCTTGTTTAGAAGGTACAATTAGCTTACAAATAGACAACATAAATATTTGAGGAAGAAATTTGAGCTACCGCAAATACACCGAAAATCGATTACACAGAGCTAGATGAAAGTTTGTCTAGTGAAATATAAACCTTTAAAATAATAGACTACTGACAGTAGTCCATTAACTATATCAATTAATCTGATTTAGTACCCTCTAACCAGAAGATGTGTAAAATATGTGGTTATTTTAAACAAGTTTTGAAAGTATACTTGTATTTATTTATATATTTATTTTTTTGCTTGACTATACATTGTATGCCTGATGTGCATAATTTAACAGCAAATGACATTAAATCGCCATGCGTGAACCGTCAACTAAATCTAAATGAATAGTATCAGAATTGAGATGTGATACTCTACAACGTCATTATGGAATCTTTAAACACCTGCTTGGATTGTATTAGATCTTGCTCAAAGGTAATTCCTGGCTGGTTTATCAGCTAGCGCAAACGACTTTGCTGCTCTGCTAGTGGAGGTATTGCTGATTTTAACGAACTTCTGTTTAAATAATACAAACGATCTGAAGTTGCGCTGCTTGATAAGTTTTCTTTGACAGCAGTCATACCCCCTCTTTATATTTAAAGAAGATTAACTTCGTTTGCATAGTGAAGTTTACAACTCAGTATCTGAAATAATAGAGTAGATGACGATGTTTAATACAGTTTTATTTAAACAAATATTTAAATCCGACAGTCAGCTGCTTGTAGGTGCTTAGATATATGCATATTATGATGACCAGAAAATAAACCATCAATCCATTGTTACAAAAACTGTACAATTACACTATATGTTCAGCTCTAGTATAGCAAACCAATGATAATAATGTAATGTAACTCTGAAAATAGGAGGGGTCTGGGGGTGGTATCAGCGCAATAATACATGGAAATGTAATTATGCGAGACGAATATTCTTATGCTGAGAATGGTGAACATAATAATCATAATTATGTTGGTTTTCAAATCTCTGACTGGATTAAACTTGTCAGATAATTATTATTGTCCCCCGCCTTTCGAAGAAAGCAGGGGACTATTAAAATGGGTTCGTCCGTCTGTCTGTCTGTCCGTCACACGTTTTGGGACACAATAACTCTCTTCCTAATTGAGCTAGAATGTTCAAACTTGGTGTATGTGTTTATTAGGTCAATGCCTTGATGGAGTTCGAAGATGAGCATTTTCCGCTTAGGGTAAGCAGAGATAAGCAATTTGATTGGTTGATGCTTTGGGACACGATAACTTTAGTTCTAATTAAGTGAGATTGATGAAACTTGGTGTATAGATTTATTATATGAATACCTTAACTAAGTTCGATAATGAACATTTTTTGCTGAGGGTAAGCAGAGTGATAAGCAATTTGATTGGTAGAAACTTTGGAACACAATAACTCTCCTTCTAATTGAGGTAGAATGTTCAAACTTGGCATAGGTGTCTATTAGGTGAATGTTTAAACTTGATGTATATGTAGATGTTCATTAGGTGAATGTCTTGACTGAGTTCAATAATTAACATTTCGAGCTGAAGCTAAGCAGAGCTAATCGATTTCATTTGTCGATGGTTTGGGACAAGATAATCTTGATTCTATCTGATAGAGAGTGATGAAACTTAGTGAAAAAAATAAATGTGCGATTAATTAATATGTGTCATCTATTTATTTTGCAATTTCGGCGGGGGACATCAGCCTCACTGTTGGCTTGTTATTATTAAGATTACACAAAGAATATGCGTAGACAATGAATGTGCATAATATAACACTTAATAACATACAAAAAGAAAATATATAAACAATGATAAAATAACCGCAGATAGTCACGCAAAGCGTATTAATACGCACACACGACAGCTATATCTTGACCTTAGCTTAGCAGAAAGCGAAACTTACATGTTGACTAAGGGGGATAACTCAGGAACGAAACGCTGAATATCGATAGAGTTCATCCTTTTGTGACCCCCGTGCCTCTTAGTAAACAAGAAAAAAAAAGGTCTGTCAAACATTTACAATCGATCCTAAAAAACAATTGGTAACCAATGAAGTTTGATCCAAGGACAATGTATTCTGTTTATATAGCGTTCAATTTGAGGAACTAAGCAGTCATCCAAAGTTTTACATCGCCAAAGTACCGTTCGATTTATACAACTGATTTGGCACAGAGAGATTAGAACAAATATATACCATTTTGCAAGACAATTATTCATTGGGGACATTTGTACATCCTGAAAAGTATTGGTTCCAAAACAGACGTGTGGTACGCCATTATGGTAGATTCGATTTTTCAGAGAAACTTTCACTGGCCAGTCTGGTTACATAATAGAAATCTGACGGTGTCGTGTGTTATTAAAGATTTGTGACCGATGGAATCGCGTTTACAAAAAGATCAATAATTCGTCAGATAATGAAATTCTTTCGAGATACTCCTATATGTTAAGATAATACTGTCACTTAAAATGTGTTCATATTTAATAATATATCGCGAGAATGCATGATAAGTCGTTACATATGTCGACGCATTCATAGATATTTTGTCTTGTCCCTCACCAGCACGCTTCCAAGAGATCGTCTTTTCTACTGAAACAATATCTGATTTTCTAATCTTCGCCCAACCAGTCGGATAACACAATTTAATCAATGAGCTAATGGGTGTTATGGACCTCATCCAGCAACTAGCTTGGTGCCGAGTCAGTGTGAGTCTAACTGTTACCCTTGATAAAGCATTACTGGTTCAATCTGTCTCGTTTCCATGAAAAATGGTCGTCTATTATAAGATTCCGCTGATTTTGAGTAAAATCAATAGGATGAATGTTAATGTCACAGCTTTGGTTATCATAGTAATTCTTCTGGAATATTTGCAATATCTATACCTCCAAAGTTATTTAGTTTTAATTTTTAAAGCTCGTCCGTCCATTAAATCTTGAATACAACATTAGTAGTGATAGTTTGCTCCACATGATCAATTTGAAGAACACCTAGCAACAATTGTGCACTGACTGTCATTATCTCTGATTGATTTAACAATTGACTGACTGACTGTAATTTAATAGAAGATACGTTTCCAGTTTCTGGGCATCCTCATACATTGCCGGAGCGTTCCCACCGAAAGTTTCGAATAAAATCAAAAGTATCGATGAATTCATCATTCTTAAGACAACTCGATTTGGACAAATATAAATTTAATGGTTTTTCCTTTACGGGGCAAAATAGTGATGTCTAATAGTTGCGAAAACAAGCGTAGAATTGATGGTAGTTAGTAACGCCGTGATACGTAATATGTATGGTTTAATGGTCGGGAGCGAGACATTAAGTAATATATTACTACTGTACGAGGCGTTAGCCGAGTGTTGTTTCAATATATATATTACGCAATGTCTTCAGTTCGAGGGCATTAAACAACGTAAAATACACACACTATCCCGCACGTGCTTTTCAATGAAATACGTCACGCGAGTCAAATATTTCATCGGATAATAATAATAATTATTTATTTATAGAGCGCCTATAATCCAATATTTTGATTGCTCTATGGGGCTATTACAATATGGTAAAAATATAAAAAACATCTCAAGAATAAACATCTATCAACATAGCACAATTAGAATAAAATATGGTATGCAATAAAAAAAAAAAGTAAACTCTGAAAACGTTTAAGCATTTAACAATTGAAATGGCTTTTAAAAAGGTGGGTCTTTAACGTTTTCTTACAAACAGGCAAGGAAGAGGAATCTTTGACTTCAGAAGGTAATTTATTCCTTAGTTTAAAAGCAGCAAAACTAAAAGAGCCTTCGCCAAATGAGGATTTTGCATGATAGGACATTAGCAAGTTTTTGTTTTGTGACCTGAGTGTGCGTGTAGGAAAATATGGGGTGACTAGCTGTTTGAGTCTTCAATATTAATGATAGAGTCTTGTAAGAGAAAGTTGTTTTAATTCAATTCTGCTAGTAACTGGTAACCAATGCAGTTGGTGTAAAATAGGGGTGATATGCTTACAAAGTTTAGTTCTAGTTATGATTCGGGCGGCTTTGTTTTAAATTTTTTGTAATTTGTTTAGCGAAGAGAAGGAAAACTAAACAATAAAGAATTACAATAATCAAGTCGAGAGGTTACAAGTGAGTTGACAAGCATTTTAGAAGTATCGGTATCAATAAAGTTTCTTATGCGACCTATATTATATAGCTGAAAATTGGCGGATTTACACATATTCAAAACATGCTCTTTCATGTCAAAATTTTTACCACCGAGGTCAGGTACACCGTTACTTAGATGTATGACAGCACCACCCACTTAACAACAATTTGTAATAATTGTCGAGAGTCTATGATCGGTTCCTATTTTTAATAGTTCA